ATAGCTTCTCTTCATCATTAAATGTTAATTTGGGAATATTTGCACAACGAGGGACACGTTTAGTGATAGACGTTAGAGAATGACAGCATGGAAAGAGTGCTGCGGAGCTTTTTTTTTAAATGTTCGGTGAATTTCAGTTGAGATCAATGAATGTCTGAGGCTGTGCTCATGTTCTCTCACTACATCATGGTCAGGTTAGTGGACCATATAGGACACAGTCTGGTGTTGTTGCATTAAAACACAAGATACATTAAAATTTATTTTATTACAAAATGTGACGTGATGGAAAACAGATGAGAATGTTATTAGTTTCTATTCACTGCCACACTTTTCTTACATTTCAGTGTATTATCATCTACACAACTGCAGCAGGTTCTAGACCAAAACTTAAAAATAATCTGCTGTATGCTAAAATTATGAAATTATCTCTGAAGGGAACAATGTTTAGAATCGCAGCTTGTGTGCAAATAATAAAAGGAGCCACACGCGCATTTTATTGTAAAGATTGAAATTCAGCAATATTTAAATATAAAAACTTTAAAAATAGGATCAGTTCACATTTTTCTAATTTTTTTAAGCTCCACATCTCAGGAGTTTGATGAAAGTCACTATAAAAAAATAAAAATAAATAAACGTTGCCTCGATGAGCCTGCTCTGACAGTTTAAAAAGACAATGCATCGTGCCATTATTGTCTATTTAAACCAATATTCAACCTTTGACAGGTTAATCCCATTGAGCCTCGGGGACTCATTTACAAGACAGACCTGATTTCTTAAAGAATACAGCGTTGAACTGCCAAACACAACTAATGGATTGTAAAGTGGATGGAAAGTTGCTGTAAACATTTTGAACCCCACAACATAATGTCCGACTTGTGATTTAAGGCAATAGTAGAGGATGACATTTTTTCGGGACTCCCTCGTAGGCCTTGTAAGAATGTGTTCTAATCTGAAGCAGGGAGAGGAGGAATAACGGTCTTCCATTTTCAGAAGGTTTATATGTAGAGTACAAGATCACCAGTCCTGGGCCATTTTAACTCCATCATGCAGTCACATGGCGCCGAACGTAAACCGACGACCCATCTTCTTCAGAGCTCGGACACACCTCCTGGAGTCGTCATCACCATCAACGAATGGGAAGTCCTACTCCTATCATGTGACCCAGCTCTCAACCAATAATATCTCGCCATCTTGTGTTCTATAATGGAAGGGTGCGTGAATGTCTGGGAGTTGTAGGCATGTAGCTGAAACTACATTTTCTACCGGAAACGGATCATGTTTTTAAACACAATATCATTCTAAATATCAAAACGGGATACATACATCTAGACATTTCATTAAGTTAATATATTATCTGATAAAATTATACTTCAGCCTTTCATGATAAACAATAAAATACATTAATGGCATGATCAATGAAAATCATCGACCTCATTTTCATTTATCGGCTTTATCGTTTCTTCGTGTCTCTCTCTTTCTACTGAAGACACTGGATGACAAAAGGCTCAACTCCGGTGCTCCTCACTGACTCTCTCTTTAAAAGCTACGAGCTAAGCTAACAGATTGACCTCGAAAAAAACATAAAAAAATCTCCCGTCTTGTCAAAGCTCCAAAATTCACGGTTGAAACCAGTGTGTTCGTGTAAAAAGAAGCTGAGAACTTGTTTACTGGATTTTTAATTAAAAGCTCTGTGTGAAAAATGCTAAAGAGCTCAAACCACACCGAGCGTCCGCCATTTTGAGAACCGAAGAGAAACGGCCCATGTCACGTCAAGGAGCCTCCCTCCCATTTTTTATTAAAGAGATATCGTTGCTCACTCCCTCACTATCCATCCTTCAGTTCAGTTTTACACTGCCATCTGGTGGTCGAAAAAAGCTACTACATGCAAAACAATTTAAACATTTTCTTAAATTTGACAATTACTAATTATTGTCAATTTCAAACAATATCGTTTATCGCAATAATTTCTGAGACAATTAATCGCATAACAAAATTTGTTATTGTGACAGGCCTACTGACACGGGTCAACTGAGTTCTATAAAAATTATAATTTATTCAAACAGAATCTTATTAAAAAACAGGCTTCAGGCCTCAATACCTGAGGACAAAGGGAGCACGAGGTAAAGGCTGATATTTCTGTTAGTCCCATTCCAACAGAGCAGAGGAGACATGCACCGTCCACTCGACCGGCTGCAACGATAACAGCAACTGCAGTGGAGGAGCCGCCCAAACTCTAAGAGTTGTCTCAAACCAGACAAGACAAATAAAAAAAACAACAACGCATCCCTGTGCACTGCGGCATTTAAGCACAGCTCAATCACGTGCCTAAAAAATTTAAAAAAGCACATTAGTTCTGGATTCAAGTTAACCAACGATAATATATAAAGGTCAGGCAGCTTACTGAGGAGCGGGAGCACAGCCTAGAATGAGCAGCAGGTCAGACGAAGGCAGAAGCCGTGCACTGCAAAGGGGCTCCAGCTGCAGCCAACAACGCCAGCCGAGCAGCAACGCTGCAGAAACACACAGCAGGTGTAGCGCCCAAACACCAACCAAATCCCAACCGCTCAGATTAAACAGAACGGCACTTAGGAGCTCAGATGAGCAGAATCCAAGAACATCAGCCACACAGCTGACGTGCAGCAGGAGGAACAAAGACACCTTCTAGCAGCCACCTGCCCAACTTTAAAGGCATCTGCCACGCCCGTCAATCAGCGGCGCGCTCTGATTAACACCTGGTGCACAGAGTGGAGGGTGGAGCACCATCTCACCACAACGTCATAGATGTTCTGAGATCTGATCTGTGCCTGACTATTTCCTGAGCAGCAACTAAACTAGCGTGTAGATGAATTTACAGACTTAATCCACGTCTTGAAAAATGATTTAGGCTCAGATCAACCTTCAGCATCAGTTCTGAAACCGTCTTTTTGTGTGTTAGTTCTCGAAATGTCTTGCAACGTTTGACTTTTTGTTGTTTGCCAATTTCTCACTACACGTTAAGCAAACTGGTAAATCATCATCAGCAGTGAAATCAAATGAACCTGTCCATGTAGCACTGAACATCGTTTCCTTCAGAAACTTTTATTTTCTTGGATTTATCGAAAAGCTCAACAAATCTTTCCGCCGACTGTCGCACATCAGCGATTGTGACTCATTCTCTGAGCGACAAAATTTAAAGTTTCATTTTAATGTTACAAGAACACAATTTTCATATTTAGAATTACATTTAAAAAAATGAACTAAAATAAAAATACATTTGAATTAAATATTTATTTTCTAAAGTCACGGGGAGCCACAGCGGAGGGAAGAACGCGGCTCCGGAGTCGCAGGTTGTCGACACGTTTTAGTTGTTTAGGATTCATGTTCTGCTCTGTGCTCTTTACTTTATTTGTTGTCTGCGTCCCTCTGTGCTGTCATTCCTCCTCAGTCAGTCCCCTGCTTCATCAGTTGGCCACGCCCACTCACCTGTTCTCGTTCTGCGTTCAACTCAGGTGTCTCCACTTTATCATCCCAGTCCTGTATATTCAGTTTGTTCCTTTCTTCACATCTGTGGAGCATCGTTGGTTCTCCTGCCGCAGTCCAGTGAGCTCTTCTGTGTTTGCTGCCACGTCAGCTTTTCTTATTATTTTTAAATTCATTCATTCATTCAACCTTTATTTATACAGGTTAATCCCATTGAGCCTCGGGGATTCATTTACAAGAGAGAACTGATTTTAACAAAGAGTGATGACAACAGTGGACAAGAACGACAACAATAGACAAACATAAAAGAGGCATAGTGATTTTTTTTTTTTACAAAATAAAATAAAATAGCAATAAGCTCGACAATAAACAACTGTCTCATCAGCATAGAAATACAAGGATGCATCAGGGATGCTCTGACCTACATTACCTATGTAGATTGTAAAGAGGATGGGTCCTAAAACTGAGCCTTGTGGTACACCACAAATAAAAATAAGATTTTTGTCCTGTCTGCTTTCCTTCCCACCACAGAGACAAATAAATCCTGAACGGTTAAACAAGGCAGCTTGTGATTTTATGTCACGTTGCAGATTATTGGAGACCCATCGATCGAGCCTGGCGCAGGAAGATAATACCATCTTTGATTTGCTGATTGATTTCCAACAGGTAAAAACAAACAAAACATCACACTGTGTGTCTTTAAACTTATAAAAAGGAAATAAGCATATTATTTTCCAAATGTACACATTTGTTCTTAAAGCAGACTTTATTTTCTCATCAATAATACAATTTATTCCTAAATCCCCTTCCTCGTTTTTGTTTAAGAAAACTGAACAACTTTTAACTCTGTTTTGAGTTTATTCCTATCCATAAAAAGCAAATTTTAACCCCTTTAAATAACTCTTTACAGATGCAGATTGTCATATTTTGTGCTGTCAGACCATGAAAACATGATCTCAAGGGTTTTGGACCTCATGAAAACAGAAAAAGGACATGCAGACCCCATTTATAACCTTTAATTTAACCTCCTATTTTGGTTGTAATTGAAGCGCATACTGTCCCACCATAACGTCCACTAATGCATTTCTCAGCCAGGAGTACACATGCTCTGTGTCCGTTCTTCGTTGTCATTTTCATTGGTTGCAGGTGGAAGGAATTATGGAGAAATGTTAGCGTTTTTGCAAAAAAAAAAAAAAAAAAAAAAAGATTTATTCTATTTGCAGAAACGGTCAACATCTGTGTTTTATCAACAGCATTCAAGTTGTATAAAAAAGAGCAGTAAAAAAATTCAAGGCAAAGAAGAAACTGACAAAATATCATAGAAAAAAGCTTCTGACTCTGAGGCACTTACGACTTGACGGTACGAGTGCAGTCTAAGTTTTCCCAGGTGGTTGTAGTCAAGCGTCAAAGGCCACGTTTACATTAAAGGTGATGTTTCCAATCCCAGTCGAAGTCATCGCCAGCCTTAAAGCTTCTGTGTGTCACTGACTGAACTCCGTTTGATTCATACTCAAACACAAAGAAGCGCTCTTACTGAGTATTTATCAATAATACGGCAAAATGCAGTTCATTAATCATAGCCATTTACATACAAAATATTCAAAATGTCATTTAAAAGTCTCAAGTGTTGGGCTTCAGCCAGCTCTCCTCGTGTCCAGCTGACCGGATGAAGCTTTTAGTTCCCCCTCAGGGCGGGCCTCGTTCAGTCGGAGCTGGCTGAAGCGGCCGAGTCCACGTCGTCATTTTCAAGGTCGTTGGGCGAGGCCGACTGACCTCCCTTCACCCTCTTCCACTTCATCCGCCGGTTCTGAAACCAAACTTTGACCTGGTGCAGATAAAGAAAAACACTCACCGCGTTAGTATTCATAGAAAAACAAAACGTTTAAGTTAAACTTGAGCTGCTTTATCGCCTGCCGGAGCGTTAGTCTAGAATCATTTGTCGGGAAATGATGGATTCATAGACGTTCTACTGTGTTGGATAATAATGTGTTGGAAATGACTCTCAGCTACTACCACAGGGCGTGCATGTCCTTTCTCAGTGACATGGCTGTTGTTGTTGAACCCACGTGCCGGCAGAGCAGGAGACTCCATGTAAAACATGTGCTTTAACGTTTAGCAAGGACTGAGACAGTGGGACACACCTGCAGTGATTGAGGTCAGGTGTGAACAGGAGCAGGAACACGAGGACTCAGAAAGTAGAGCTCTCATTTCTAACACGGGCCTGACCCAAATTTTGGGCTGGGCCATAATAATGTGCTGGATGGGCGGGCCGGGTCGGGTTTTTGATTGTGTCAGCGGACGATCCAATTATATGGCAACATGGCTTGCCATACATTACAATGATATGGTGACATGGCTTGCCATACATTCAATTATATGGCAACATGGCTTGCCTAACAATACAATGATATGGCGACATGGCTTGCCATACATTCAACTATATGGCAACATGGCTTGCCATACTTTCACCAGCTGCACGCGGCCATTTGACCGCGAGCTGACCGGCCTTTAAAGAGGTAAAATAAAGTTCAGCTAAGCTTCAAATGGACTAGGCAGCGATCCATCAAAAGCCCAAATGGACGTTGAGCGGACGCGCGTGGCCAACGACCCAAACAGGTGACATCCCAAAGCAGACATGTCAGAGCATGGTCTGTGTCTGAATAATGCAGAATGCAACAGAATCAGGGATTTAATGTGCTTTGAGGCCATGAAAGGACAAACACCCCCTCAGCTCCGATCTTCTGATCCATCAGCCGTGTGCGTCCACCGACCGTTTATAACTATATAAACAGTCAAAGTTTACCGGTAATTGAAAATGTCGGGTGGGGTTCGGGTTCAGACCTGTAATTACTGTTAATTGGTCGGGTGGAGTTTGGAAATGATGGCTACGGGCTGGGGCCGGGTCGGGTTTTTTTGGGCCCAAATGCATCTCCATCAGAAAGACACAGGACAGACAGAATCGTCTCGCTAAGAGTTTAATTAAAATCTGACTGGCTCTTTATGAAATATTTAGCTGATGAACCATTTTGACTGTAAGTGCATGAGTTTAGAGAATGTAATGGTAATCATCCTCGGCTACCACCACACCAAAGTTTAGCTCGGTGTCCATAAAAGTGTCTGAATTGTAGCTATAATTGTATTTCTTAAAGTCAGTTGGCTGGAGCTGCCACTTTGAATCAGGATGACTCCAAAAACTAACAAGTTCTAGATCGTCTAATGATTTGCTGCGAGACTCATCAAAACCCGACAAGTGGTTCATGTGATATTTTGCTAACAGTTAAAATATGCACATACTCTTTCACACAGACAAAAACATTTATAATTTCGCCTCCACTGGTTAATGATAGTAATAAACTAAAATATCTTATGTTGTTTGAGTCTTTAAGTTTTTGTACCAGTATTTGAGGATATCTGTATGTGACTTGATCGCTGAAGTACGAATCTTTTTACTAAATTTATGGCACGGTCAGCCAACACAAAAGATCAGTCTCCCTGCAGTGTGTAAAACTCCCAGGCCTGGTGAGGAGCATGAACAGTCGGAGCGAAGCGCTCAGTTCTGGCTCGAAGCTCTCCAAATATCAAGCGCTCAGCGGGTCAGACGAGTCGTCTACCAGGAAGTCTGCCAACGCAGGATGTGCGTTCACTGCGCTCGCCGTTTGGACGGCGATCGTCTGCAGTGTCCAGATCAAAAAAATGTATCGTTGCTGTGCAGCTTCATATTAAACAAAAATTACACAAGAAAAAACTGTTTAGACCTATTCTCTAATGATAACTGGACTTTGATGCTGTTTGCTTTAAAAAATAAAATGATCTAAAAAAATAAAATAAAGGAAAAAGTAAACTTGAATTTTTAGAACTTCTCTGAGCATCCAACCTGTGAACAGTCTGTTTAGGCCAGGGGTCTGCAACCTGCGGCTCCAGGGCCACATGTGGCCCTTTGGTCCCTCTGCAGCGGCTCTTTCAGGCTTTGAGCAAAACTAAAACAAAACTGAATTTTATTTAAATTCTTGCCAACAATGAAAATGACTAGTTGTGGCAGATTTCCTGTCACTTTCACATATGTGAAGGACAAAACAAATAAAAAGCGTAAAACATGTGAACAACATCATGCTAGTAGTTTGTTAGCCACTTTAAGTCGACTTCCAGTCCCTCAGCGTGATCTTTCTCTCAAAACCACGAGAATGTTTTGGAAAATCTTTAAGAAAAGTTGCTGAGAAGGAATATGGTGCGTAACTTTGATAACACTATGAATAAAACACAAAAATCAAAGTCAAACAAAAGTATTTATTTTTCTTTAAAAATGTAACTGGATATCCAACAAACTGGCCTAATCTTATACTGTCCTTAACTGTATGCTTTAAGTAGGATACTTAATTATTCAACAATTAAGAGAACTCACACAGGCCTGCAGAGTTCAGTGGTTTTAATGTTTATAAAATTGTTATCAAATATATTTTTTCTTTCTTTAAATGAATCTTGTCATGTTTCTGCCCCTTCATGCCATGATCTGCTTCTGTCACTCTCCTCTCTCAGCTCATCTGCCCTGATTCACCGCACCTGTTCTGATCCATTTTTAAGGCTTCCTCACCACTCTGCCAGATTATCAAACCCCTCACGGTAGTAGATGTCCAGCGTTCTTGTCACAGCCTTGTCTGATCTTCACATATTGACCTCACGCCTGTCTCTTGGAAACCCCGATCTGCCTGATCTTGTTTTGCCTTTCTGACCTCATTACTGGTTACACCTTCTGGCTCAACAACTATGACTCGTGGATTATCATATGGATTTGGATCTAGATCTCTGACCTCCTGTGTATGACCCCCACCTCTACACCTGGACCTTGTTCGTGGATTATCCCCCTGACCACGCTCTCCTCAGCTCTGCCCTGCAGATGCGCTTCACTCAGTGACGGTGACGTCATCTTGCCCTACTCCTTCAGGTGGCCCCCACCTCTCCTGTTTAAGAAGATTGGCCCCACCACCGGATTCTGAACTCCACCAGCAACTGCAGTTCAATAAACTTTTTTAACTATTCTTGTTGTCTGACATTGTGTACGAACCCTAAAACCCAATTCTTGACAAATCTGGTCATTTCTTTTGTATTAAAATGTAAAAACAAACTTGCAGTGGCCCATGGGCCACCAGTTGATGGTACACAGTTGTAGCAGGTTTTGCGGCTCCGGACATCGTAATTAGTAGGCATAGTGGCAAAAAGGGCTTTTTATCACAAAGGTTGCAGACCCCTGGTTTAGGCTCATCTGTGACTCAAAGATTATTAAACTTATATTTAAGAAATAAACTTTTTGTTTCCTCAGTTCCTGTGCACGCTTAAAATATTTACTTGTTGCCGTTTCCATCAACCTCACATGTCTTTTTGTTACCCTTTGTTGACTTTATTACGAAGGTTTGACTGACTGAATAATCTGTTCCCACTTACTGTAATCTGTTTTTGTTACTCTGCTAATCGTGCTTCATTGAAATGGTGGCAACTTATCCGGGCTAATAGCTGGAAAACTCTGTCAGATTAATACAACAGAGGAGATCTGGGAATTATATTTAGCAACGGTCGACGATGTGTGGTCACCGCTCCGCGGCCTCGTTAGGAGGAGCGCCGGGTCTGACAGGCAGACTTCTGGGTTTTCATCCAGCAGCTTCGACACACGTCTGGAGGCCGCCGGGCAGCCATTACAGCTGCACGTCATTCTGCTACAACCACAGACTGAAAAGCACTGCGGAAAAAAATGCCCGTTCTGATTCAAATGCAGCATAATCGAGAGCTGAAATTTAATTTTCAGGCATTTGCGGGTTGTAATTTTTCTTTTATGTTTCGTGTTTATGCAAGATTTTGTGGCTGGAAGGAGGGTAATGTTTTATCCTGCCAAATCCTACATTATTTAACATGAAAGGCTGATCATTTTATATTCAATAAATGTCTATGGAGTCTCCCTTATTTGAAAGAATCACAAGTACAAGAGAGAAGTTCAGCCCAGTATTTCACTCCATCCCAGGCTGAGCAGGAGAGAAGTGGAGTACCTGTCTCTCGGTGAGGTCGAGGTTCACGGCGATCTCGTAGCGCCGGAGCCTGGTCAGGTAGTTGTGGTGGGTGAACTCGGCCTCCAGCTCCCTCAGCTGCTCCTTGGTGAACGCTGTACGCTCCTTCCTGGCCTTGCAGCTGGAATCCACTTTAAAATTGGAGTCCTGGATATCTGCAGAAAGACAGAAATGCATTACCTGTAGATGCTTTGAGCCACATGTGGTAAACTCAAGGCCCATGGGCCAGATAACGGCCCCTTTGTACAACTTTCTTCGGCCCACAGGCATTTTAAAATATTTGACCAGACCTGCGAATCTGCAGCAGGTCAGACTTGGATCTTTATGAGGTGACTCAGCTGATTTGATGGTTTGTGATAAATCATTTGACATTCTGATTTTTTTCAATAATCTATAGTTGCTCTCGTCTTGTGAAAAGGTCATTTATACTTTATTTTCAATCATTTGAAGTCTTTATCACGTCTAGACTGGACTATTGCAATGGTTTGTTATCTGGGTGTCCAAATACTTCTTTAAAACGTCTTCAGTTGATCCAAAATGCTGCTGCCAGAGTCTTAACTGGAGTTAGTGGGAGAGATCATATCTCTCCAGTTTTAGCTTCTCTCCCATGACTCCCTGTCAAATCCAGAATTGAATTCAAAATCTTACTTCTAACCTACAAGCTATCAACAACCTAGGTCCATCTTGTATAAGACATCTTATTGTTCCATATTTCCTAACAGAGCACTTCGCTCTCAGACTGCAGGTTTACTCGTGGTTCCTAGAGTTTCTAAAAGCAGAATGGGAGGAAGATCTTCCAGTTATCAGGCTCCTCTCTTGTGGAACCAACTTCCAGTTTTGTCCGTGAGGCTGACACATTGTCCAGTTTAAGACTTTATTTTTTGATAAATCCTATAGTTAGGTTTGGCTTGTTATGCTGCTATAGACTATTGGAGGACAAGTTGACATAATTTCCTTAAATTAATTGTTAAAATCGTTTTCATTTGATACTATTTCTATCTTAACATGCGATTCTTGAGCTGCCATTGTGTATCTGTTCCTCTCAAACCCAGCCGGTCGAAGCAGATGGTCGCTTGTCCTGAACCTGGTTCTGCTAAAGGTTTCTTCCTCATGAGGGAGTTGTTCCTTTCCACTGTCGCCTTCATGCTCGCTCAAGATGAGAGTCTGTGACGGAGTTAAACTCAAAGCTCCTCAGATAAATAATGTTAAATTATGAATTTTATATATGAATGTTTCTGTTCAGTGCCCTGAGACGACTTCTGTTGTGACTTGGCGATATATAAAAAAACTGAATTGAAATTGAAATCTGAAAATAAAAGTAAGTTTTTATTCATTCTGATAAATATTGACTGAGATCGACCCTCACTCAGGACCAACTTGTGAATTTTAACCCACGGAGAAACCGTTGACACCCCTTGGCAACTTCGTCCTTTCACTTTGTTTGCTGCTTTTTGCAGAAGGTTATACATATTAATTTATTTGTTTAGCATTAAACTGGTGTAACATATTAGCAGTAAGTGATTGTACCGACTTGACTCGTGGACTTCTATGTTTGCAGTCAATCTGATGTGAATTGGCTCTAACTCTAGTTAACTATGAAACAGACCTGAAGGACCTTATAAACTAACAAACCACAGAACCAAAGGTTTTTTAATAGGAGGCCCCTCATAAAGTAAACACTAAAACCAGCACTTTAAACCGAGACCACCCCGACCTGGTCTTGAGTCCCGTTCACCTGCAACACAAGCATTCCTGGAATTTGACAGTATTTTTCCACTTAATTATTTTTATGTGTTTCCAAATTAAAGGGAATCTACTTTCCTCCAAGCGAACAGCCATTCACGGCGTGTACGGGTTAACGCGTGTGTCAGGATGGATCAGCGCGGGGCAGGGGCCACCGAACCGGCCAGAGGGACTGCGTTAGGAGAGGAATGCAGCGGAACATTGTTAAAGCATCCAGGGGAAGAACAAAGGTGCGGATGTGTCCGGGTCCGAGTGCGCCTGTCAGAAGATTTCCCACAGGAGCACTCACGGCTGATCCACTTTAACTCATCTGGACGGGACAACAAACCAAGAAAACGCCTGAGATCTCTATGAAGGTGAAGGATTGTAAAGATATTTAATTTTCTTGGTGCTTTAAAACGTCACTACTTAAACCAGGGGTGTCCAAACTTTTTCATATGTGGGCCAAAACTGTCCAGATGAAAGTTATGAAGGACCTCCAAAAATAACTGAATTTTTGTCATTTATTTTTATTTTTAAACTCTCAGCAACAACATGAATAGTTTGGAGGAAGGACAAAAGTTGACTTGGTGGACGAGTTGTAGCTCCAAAGCCATAAACGCTTCCCAAACACGATAAATTTATTTGATTTGTTGGGTCTATTTTGTTTTCTTGTGCTTGGAAAGTTGATTTCAGTTTATTGTCAGGAACAAAAGTATAATTTGAGAAGATGTTCTTTAAAAAGAAGTTCTGAAAAAACGTTCGGCTGACAGTCGCTAACACAAATCCAACGACGGTTTGACGGGGCGCTGATAATCAACGTGTATGCAGATGATAACGCTTTATATTCCTTTCAAAATGTCTTTATTAAAAACTGCAATTATTTTCTTTTAAAACACATTTTAAAAAAATATCTAAACAAGTTTTATGAATAATTATCCAAAAGTCTATTTTTGGTAGAAATCAGTAACAGTTTGTGCAACTTTTTACCATGAAATGAACAAAAAAAACCTGATTAATTACAGCCAAAGGTTTGCATCACATTTAATATTGCTCATTTTAAGATTATTTGATCCGTTTTGTTGTTAAACCAAAAAGTTACATTTAAAAAGTCTGAACATTAAATTTGCAGTAGCTCTACATCCACTTCTTCAACTTATGGGACAAAATTATTCCATTCTGAAGCTGCAGTCATGGGCCGCTCAAAATCACTCAAAGGGCCGCAAATGGCCCTCAGGCCTCACTTTGGACACCCCGGACTTAAACCCTCATTTCTCAGGAACAAACAGCAAGTTGCTTTGACTTTTCTCTACAAGCATCCCGTGCAACAACTTGAACACATTTGGGTAATAATCGTGCATCGGTAGCTGTTAATGTTGAACCCAGAGGCAGGAGGACCCAGGAGTAAAATAATACCGATTTATTTTACAATAAAAAACACACGTGTTGACGGGGCAGCAATACTTATGTATTTGGAAAAAGATGAAGAGCGGACCAGACCAGCACAGTGGAAAGGTTACTGAGGTAATGCTCTACGACTTGGTTGACTATAATATTTTACTGTTTATGTATAAGGCTCACAAAAACATACTGCCTTCTAATATTCAAGTAAATTTTATTAAAAGGGAGAGTGGTTATTATCTTAAGGGGATAGAGATGTTTGTGAAGCATTGGTTTCGTACCAGTTTGAAGGAGCGGTCTGCTATAATTTAGGGAATGGGATTGTGGACTGGTCTGAAGGATGATGTTAAAACTGCCAGATCTATGTACACATTCAAGAGAATGACAAAAGTTAGTTTTCTGAAGGAATATGGAAAAGTATAATGTGTATCTATACAAATTGTTGTTTGAGTTGATGTTGTTTTTATTTAACTTTGTTTTTTTGTAAATTACTTTTGTTTGAATATATTTTTTGGGGAAAAGGGGGCTGATATCATAAGATTTATTCTTCTGCTGCTGCCTTTCATTTTATTTTTGATTGTATACATTTTTTTTGTTTTCTATTATATAAAGTTATTTTGTTTTAATGAAATGAATAAATTTCTAAATAAAAATATATCAGGGGAGTGACAAGACAAGAGATTTTATACCAGGGTGGGCTGAGCAATATGGACCTAAATTAATATCTCAATATTTTTAAGATAAATTGCGATATATGATACTTATCTCAATATTTTTAAGATAAATTGCGATATATGATACTTATCTCAATATTTTTAAGATAAATTGCGATATATGATACTTATCTCAATATTTTTAAGATAAATCGCTATATATGATACTTATCTCAATATTTTTAAGATAAATCACGATATATGATACTTATCTCAATATTTTAAGATAAATTGCGATATATGATACTTATCTCAATATTTTAAGACAAATTGCGATATATGATACTTATCTCAATATTTTAAGATAAATTGCG